TGTACCTCCAACAACCATGTAAAAAGCTGGGCACAGAAGCAGCTGCCTGTAATCCCAGCCCCGGTGGGCGGAGCCTAGAGGATTCCCTAGACTTGCTGGCTGGTGGTGGTGAATCTAGCTCAGGTTCATTGAGAGAAGCAACCTCAGAAATCAAGGCAGAGGCGCTGGAGGAGGAGCACATGCAGCTCAAGCAGGAGGACCCAGCTACATCTCCAGCATCAATCTAAAACACAGGTGTGACAGAGTGCCTGCCAATCCCCTGCACTGGGGTGGAAGGCTTAGCGGCCTGCTGGGGCCTGCTGTCCAACCAGTCTTGCTGAAAAGCAGCGTGTTTTATGACAGATCCTATCTCATGGGAATACAGCAGAGAGAGTGAACATTCAGTATCCTTCTCTGGCTTCCCCATGCACAGGCACAGATCACACCATATGTATACATATGCATGCACATACTATACCTCCACACACACACAGACACACAGAGACACACACACACACACACACACACACAGACACACACACACAGACACACACACACACAAAGTCCCAAAGGTTTTTCACGAGTTAAATAGGATTCAGTTAACACATATCTACAACCCAACCTGGTTCTACAGTGAGGAAATATTCAAACATGTCCATCTGTCCACAGCCATCAGACAGAATGCCTCCTGCTCATCTGCAAGTCACAGTTTGTCACAGCTTGAATGAGAACATCACAGCAAACTGAACTAAGGAGTTCCAGAGGAAGAAAACACAGTCCTTCTCAAATAGTTGCTCGTCTACAGCAGAGAGGGTTGTATATAATCACCTACCATCCACCTATCAACTCCATCCATCCATCTATATAGCTTCCTGTCTGTCTGTCTGTCTGTCTGTCTGTCTGTCTGTCCATCTATCTATCTATGTATCAACCTACCTGCCTATCTGTACTGGCTGGTTTTGTGTGAACTTGGCACAAGCTAGTTATCAGAGGAAGGAGGCTCAGCTGAGGAAATGCCTCCATGAGACCAGCTGTAAGGCATTTTCCTATTTAGTGATCAATGGGGGAAGACCCTGCCCATTGAGGGTGGTGCCATCCCTGGGCTGTTGGTTCTGGGTTCTTTAAGAAGGTGGGCTGAGCAAGCCACAGGAAGCAAGCCAGTAACACCCCTCTACAGCCTCTGCATCAGCTCCTGCCTCCAGGATCCTGCCCTGCTTGAGCTCCTGTCCTGATTTCCTTCAGTGATAAACAGCATTGCTGAAGTGTAAGCCAAGTATACCCTTTTCCTCCCCAACTTACTTTTTGGCCATGGTGTTTGGTCACAGCAATAGAAACCCTAACTCAGACACTATCTTTGTAGGTCTGGGAATAAGAGCTAGAGAGGCACACATGCCAAGCAAGTGCTATAACACTGAACTCAGTCCTAACATGGACTTTAATCAGACACAAAGCTCCATCCCCTTAGGTAAATAACTCGAAAAGCAGCTCTTGACTATAACATTTAAACAAGATACCTCCCATGCTGGGTTATAAGGCTTTATGAAATGTGAATTAGTTGACAGCCTGACAGAAATAGATCCTGAGTAAATACCAGCTCTCTCTTTTCCCCTTTCCCACAAAGCAGCACTCACATGCAGTATTTATGCTGAAAGAGACAGTAAAGAAACCATTTAGAGTGGGTAAAGGGGTCTGAATGTTCTAGATTACTGCTATCAGTAGTGACTCTAAGAGGATCAGATACAGAGTTGGGATTCCATAAATTACCAAGCACCAGTGACTGCATCAGGAGGATTACAAGCAGGCTGTGCAGAGTGGTTGTCTGTGCAGGGTGATGACTGTGAAGGTTGATGACTGTGTAGGGTGCTGGCTGTGCAGGGTGCTGGCTGTGCAGGGTGTTGTCTGTGCAGGATGTTGTCTGTGCAGGTGATGGCTGTGCAGGGTGTTGTCTGTGCAGAGTGTTGTCTGTGCAGGGTGATGGCTTTCCAGAGTGATGGCTGTATAGGGTGCTGGCTGTGCAGGGTGTTGTCTGTGCAGGGTGATGATTGTGTTGGGTGTTGTCTGTGTAGGGTGTTGTCTGTGCAGGGTGTTGTCTGTGCAAGGTGATGGCTGTGCAGGGTGTTGTCTGTGCAAGGTGATGGCTGTGCAGGTGATGGCTATGTAGGGTGTTGTCTGTGCCGGACAATGGATGACTTGGGACACTGTCTTAAGTCTCTCAGATAGTGTGATGTTATGGAAAGACTAAGATGACATTTTGCAGTTTGACTTCCTTGCAAAACTAAGAAGGAACTACTGTGTTCTTTCTAATGGCTGAGGTACTTGTTCTGTTTCTAAAGTGCACACTAACTTTGGAATGTTCGTCCACACTTAAGAGAAGTGGGTATGATTCTATTCTGAACACTCTGATGTGAAAATGTTTGAAAACAGCCTTTCTAAAGTAGCCAACAAACAATGCTTGGAGTCCAGTGGGCTGAGTGGTTTCCTCGGCACTCAAGCCTTAAATGGTGAGTACTCGGAATGCCTGGGGAGTGCCCAGCTTTTCTTAGTTTTTTTTAACAAACTGGTAACCTGTAACTATAAAAGCAAAAGCTTCCTGTTCAAATATGACATCTAGCTCTCCAGGGAACTCCTTTCCCAATTGATAACTAAAAATAATCTGACATAGCATGTGATAGGGAATGTACTGTGTATGTTCATCTTATTGATTGTTGAATAAAGTACTGTTTGGACAATGAGGCAGCAAGTTAGATGGGACTAGGAGTCAAAGAGGATTCTGGGAAATGTAGTAGAGAAGTGGTGATCCAGGCAGGAAGTGACATAGCAAGGAGACTCATATTTAAGCAAGGACAAACAGGAAGTGTGTCCTTTTCCTTTCTGCTCTTCCTCCAGTGGCACAATATGATCTACCGGCAAGGGGGGATGCCAATGGAAGGCATCCGATAAGATAAGTCTTATAAAATATATATATTTATGATAATTAAGACTGAGCTAACAGATGAGAAATCCTAGTCATTGGCCAAGCAGCATTTGTACATAATATAAGTCTCTGTATTATTTTGTCCATCCACGCGGTGGGCAGAACTCGGACAGCTGGCAGAGACCACCCATGTGGTAGTAGGGCTCAGGTAGCTTTTGGCGGAAAGATTTATTGTAACAAACATGGTTACCTATAGCAACACCACTATTTTAAGCAAAATAAATAAATAAAACTAAATCAAAATAAATGAGAATGGATGGGAAGATAACCTTTTTTTAGTGTATGAGATTAACCAAGGCAAGCCAAATAACCTGGCTTAATCATGGTTAAATAAAATCATTAGTAAGTTTCACCTGTTCACAAACAGATGTTGTACATGTTTTTTTCATTGTTATTAATGTGTGTGCATGCCACAGTGCACCTGTGGAGGTCAGAGGACAACTGTGGGAGTTGGTTTTCTCCTTCCACCATGTGGGTCCAAGGACCTGAACTCAAGTCATCAGGCTTGGTGACAAGTTTCTTTATCCACTGAGCCGGCCCACCATATCCCCTCCTAAACGCTTTTTACTAAAAGCACACTTGCCCAGACCCAGGGGGTAACAGAACCTAACACACCAAGGTTGCAGAGTCATCATATCAAAGTGTTGGCCCCACCCTGGTGGCACTGAGTATCTAGTGTGTGGCTGTTCCTATGTGTGGCGCATGACCCCTGAAAGAAGCACAATGGACTTGGTGCAAAGGGCTCAGTACAAACACAAGGGTACGAATAACAGATCTCAATGGTTTTCTGTCATATACATCTAGGGGTCATAACTGCCTCTCTAGAGTTAAATACCGTATTACAGAAAGAACTTTCTCTTGTTTCTTTTAACTGTTTAAACATGGCCGAAACTACATTTAAACCACATTTTTTTGTTTGCCTTGGATGTCTACTGGACAGTGCCACTGATGAGGGTGTTTCAGCTCAGGTTACCATGAGCTGTGAATTTCTGTATGTCATTGTCTGGCTGGCCTGGGTTCCATCTTTTAAGCAAAATGTCGAGAGCTTGGACTACACTGCTTCTAAAACCTGCCGTCACTTTGACACTCTGTAATTTGTGGGTCTGGGAGAGACAGGACTATGGCAGTACTAAGGTGTGGGACAGGAGCTGGAATCAAGGGACACCCCAGCAAAGATTGGCTTGCTGCAAATGGGACCCACAGCTTATGTCCAGAATTAGAGACAGCATTGTTCCAGACATGCCAAACTCCTTATAGAATCACAACACTCTGATCTTTCTGTTTTTGGCATCATTAAGTATGGCCTCCTATCTTAGTGGAGATTTTCCTGACTTAACCATACTTTTTTGGATGTAAATGCAATCTGGAAAAATTATGTTGCTACTATGCCATAACCTATCAACTTCAAAACTGCAAAGCCTATAAAATTCTGGTGTAATCCACAGGCAACTTGTAAATTCCAGGAACTGTAACCTAGCACAGCATGTCTGCTACCATCATGTCTCCTCAATGACTTTAACACACATAAGCACCTGCTATAGTTTCCATTGGTCCAAAGGATCACACACTGGACCCTCAGTCTCCAGTCTGGTGGTGGTAGGAGGTGGGAGATCCTTTAAGGAGTGGAGCCTAATGGAAGGTGAACAGGCAAGCCCTTTGATGGGGTTATCATAGTGCTTGCAGGATCCCAATAAGAGCCAATGAGAGTGGATCATCATAAAAGTGCAAAAAGGCCTCCCCCTCCTTGGCTTCCTGTCTAGTCATGTGCTCTTTCCCTCACACTTTTGCTCCCACCATGATGTCATCAGCTGTGGATGAGGAAATCCCTCAGCAGTGGCCAAACAGATACAGCCAGCTTGGTCAGGCACTTTCACTGTGATCTAAGCAATGGCTTTATAAAATTCCCAGTCTTGGGTACTTGTTATAGTGATGGGAAAGGATGATTACAGCGGTCGTCTCCTTGTTCATCCATTACAAAGTCTTCTGGGGGACTTTAATGGTTATGAGCAGTTAGCAAAGAAGAGCGTCTTAGAAATCAGTAACATACCAACTCCATTAACTGTTTGAGCTGACCTATCTCTTCAGGCAGTGATCCCAGCTTGTTGTTACTTGCGATTAAGACTTTGAGAGGCAGACCACACAGGCAGGCAGGCAGAGCAGACAGCTGATTTCGGCTGTAAAGACAATACAACAAGAACACATGTAAACGGAAAGGCCACTTACTGATGCTGCCTGGGAGTGTATTCTCTTTGGTTGGCAAGTACATTTTTCTCTGGATTATTTGAGATGGGGGTCTCTCTATGTAGCCCTGGGGTGCCTGGCATCTCTCCATAGCCTAAGCTGGCTTTAAACAATATAATCTCCTGTCTCTGCCTCCAAAGCGCTACAATCACAGCCAGCAGCACCATGCCCAGCTGTGAATATGAGAAAGTATTTTATAAATATTAAAAACTCTAATACTTCTGTCTATGAAATCACTCAAACTATTAAGTGCACAAGAAAAAACACACAAGTAAAAATAAAGGAGTAGATAGACAAGATTGGACAACAAATATCAAAATGCAATTTGACAATTACGTTGAGATTTCATCTTATTACAATCAGCATGGCCAAGATTGATAAAACAAATAACAGCTCATGCTGGTGAGGATAAAGAGTAAGAGGACCACTCATCCATTGCTGGTAGGACTGCAAACTTGAAGAGCCACTAGGGAAAGCAGTGTGGCACTTCCTCAGGAAGATGGGAATTAATGTACCTCAACCCAGCTAGACCACTCTTTGGTATATACCCAAAGGATGGTTCATCCTACAACAGGGACACTTGGTCAACCGTGTTCATTGCTGCTCTATTCATAATAGCCAGAAAGTAGAAAAAAAACTAGATATCCCTCAATAGATGAATGAATAATGAAAACATGGTACATTTACACATTTCTTTAAAAGAATGAAATCATGAAATTTGCAGGTAAATGGATAGAGATAGTAAAAATCATTCTGAATGGAGTTGTTACCCAGACCCAAAAGAACAAATATGGTACGTATTTGCATTTAAGTGGATGTTAGCTATTAAGTCCTGGATAAGCAGGCCACAATCCATGTAACCACAGAGGTTAGGTATAGAGTGAGGGACTATGGGGGAAGGAATGATTTCCCTAAGAAGGAGAAATAGAATAGATAGGTATTGATGAATTTGGAGAGGGGACTGGAACAGGAGCATCAAACAGGGAGGGGAAGGGAAAGTGGAGTAAGGGAGGAAAGGGGGGGAACAGCTAACACTAAGGGCCATGAGGAGACATATAAAAACCTACTACAGCAGAAGCTTCATAAAATACATGCTAATAAGAAATCTATATGGAATCACCAAATGACCAGGAGGCAAAGCCATAACAAAACATCTCTTGCCCACCAAGTGAAACTTCCAGTGCCAGGAATAGGTTACATCTCGTCTGAGTTGCGGGCCATAGGAGCCCCATGGAAACCCATACACAACCCAGGCTATTGCCTAGGCTATTGATGGCTCTCCACAAACTGAGAGTAAGGCCAACTGCTGGAGATAACACCTACACAACTCACTGAACATGGAAAAGCCGAGCTGGTGCCTGCCTAGAGCCTTCACCCCTGCTGACTACTCTATGTCTGCATGCTACCAAGAGAGAAAAATAAATACCAACTCAGCAATCTACAACGGTAACCTGTATGCAAGTTACACTGGTACGAAAGAAGCACAAAAGCTATGGGAGTAACCAACCCCTAAATGATTGGATTTAGGGCCCACTCCCTGAGAGGGAACACAGACATGGCACTGCTCAGGTGGCCAATAGCCTGATACCAGATAAGCCTAGAACCTGGGCAAAAACCAAATACTATTGCTATGCTAAAGGATGAAGCAATAAAATGACTAACAACATTCTGCCATACTCATAGATCAGCACCTTGCTCAGCCATCATCGCAGAGGCTTCCTCCTGAAGCAGATGGGAACAAAAACAGAGACCCACAACTGGACAATGTGTAGACAGTGAGAGACTTTGAAACACTCAGTTCTAAATGGGGTGCCAACTTCAAATCCCTCCTGTCAGGGCTCAGGGAACTCCACAGAAGAGGGGGCAGAAAGATTTTAAGAGCCAGAGGGGATGGAAGATAGCAAGAAAACAGGCCTTCTAGATACAACAGGGCTGACATAATATGACCTCACAGAGACTGTGGCAGCATGCACGGGGCCTGTACAAGTCTAAGCCAGATGGGGTCCCAGTGATGAGAGGGAAAATAGACACAAGCCCCCACCCTAACCCAGACACTAACTCCAAATGATAACAGCTTGCAAAGAAAAAAAAATAGTTTCCTCCAATGGAGTCGCACTGAGCATGTAGACCACACTTAAGGGTCTACAGGCCCAGCAGTAGATGACCAATATAAAATGAACTGAAAAGTGGTTCTGGAGGTTCTTTGGGAAGGGGGCAGTTTTACCTTACAGGTATTTCCCTCATATATTATGGCTTCCAGTTTGGGTTTTTTATGGGATTTCTATGTGTGCAAATGGGGTCTACTGACTAGATTGGAACTTCCAAAAGAAAGCCAACACAAGCCTTTCATCTTTTTAAGTTCATTATCTCAATTGCTTTGTTGCATGAACAGAATGCTAACTGATGCCACTATTGTCTACTGACAACATGTACAGGAAACTCAGTCAGACAGGACCAAAGCACCCAGTACTCTGAAGGCACTGTTTAGTCATTCTTTTAAAGGCAATTTAGAATTTACTGTGTGAAGACGTCTTTTTTTCAATGTTTATGAGTGTCTTGTCTTTGAACATGTACCACGTGAGTGCAGGTGCCAGAGAGAACATCGGATCTCCTAATTCTGGAAGGTTGGAAACCACCATGTGGGTGCTGGAAACTGAACCTCAGTCCTCTGGAAGAACAGCCAGTGCTTTTCACCACTGAGTCATCTCTGCAGCACCTGGGATTTTTAATGTTGGTTTTTAAGCATGAAGAGGAACAAGAGGTGCTTGGGCTGAAAAGTAAGACATCCATGTGCATGGGTGTGGCCTCTCAAAGGAGAGTCACCGTTGGAAGGGAGAGAACTGCTGCAACCTATACCTCAGTGGGTGGAGTTCTGAAGTTTGACTCAGCTCTGCACTGTTAAAACAAGAGCTGCTGCAACTGCAGTCGGCTTGAGTACCTGCAAAAGAGCTGAGGAAAAGGAAAAAGGTAGCCTCTACCAAAGGATGCCTGGAACCCAGAGAGCTTCCGCTTCCCAAAGCAGCTGACAAAGTTAGAGGGAGGTTTTGCTCCTCTCTGCATGAAGAGATCACACAAAACCCTTTGACCTTAATATTGTCCCTGTTTAGTAGTTTAAATCAGAGAAAGAGTCAATTAGTAAAACTTTGTTGCCATTCCACATGCTGGAGTCAGTCATTTAGTTCAGCCCCCGCTCCCCCACAAGCCCTTTATCCTGTCACCAATCACAGACAGATGGGTTACAGTGTCTCTGATTTTCTTTCCCCATTATTCTGTAGATGAAGCCAACGGCATGTGATTGCAAAGGTTAAAAAAACTTCCATGTGTTTGTGCACATATGCATAACATTTCAAAGCCATGCCCCATGTGCACACATAAGTTTACAGGAAAAAAAAACATCTGCAAGTCACAACAAGAAAGATAGATGTCTAACATATCAAAATATCAGTAGTGATCATTTGGGAGTATCTAAAAAGTGTTTTTTGTTTTTTGTTTTTCTTTTTTGGCACATTTTGCCATATTTTCTGAAATTCCTGAAGTGTTTTTATAATCAGAAAAGAAACATAACAAGATGAACTGGATTAGATGATCCTCAGATGGCTGTTTCTCTATGTGAAAACTCCGAGATGAGCACATACCCCATGCATTATGGTCCATACGTCATACTAGAAATGCCATGGTCCCTGTACACAGGAAGGGGAAGGAGTCTGCTGCACCAACGGGCATCTCTAACCTATAGGCTCAGAAAAAAGCAGGTGCTGTGCTGAGCAAAGAGCCTATCTAATCATCTAAACGAGGCCCACCCTTAATCAATACCTCAATATCACTCCTACTGCAGGCACTTGCTGCCCAGCTAACTCTATTAGGGCAAGAAACAGCACACCAACAATTTCCTCCATGGCCCAGATCTACAAGAAAGCTATTTCCACAACTGGGCAGAGGAGCTTTCCCATAAAGGTTCAGCAGGAGAGAGAAGGTGGGGGAACCCCTCGGGCCTGTTAGAAAAACAGACTATGCTACTCCTCCAGTCTCTGGGAACAGTGGAGGAGGGGAGCGGGCCCCCAACCTGTCTCTCAGTCCTCTCAAATCCTTCCCACAGCCCTCACTCACCTACAAGGACCTGCTTAAGGAACCTGTTGGATAAGGGATCCCCTTGGTGCTCTGTTGGCTTTTCTCAAGCTCAGGGAAGGGCTCTGTAGCCATCACCTCTATAAAAGAGAACTCAGTTATTAAAAGGTGACGAATAAATAATTCACAACATAATTTGTGATTATGAAATATTTATAGGCATGTCAACTGGGCCTGGTGGCACACACCTACAATCTGACACTCAGGAAGCTGAGGGAGAAGGGACACCTGGGTTACAGAGTGAGACCTGATCTCAAAAGGCAGAACAGGGTCTGGAGGGATGGTTCGGCCATTAAAAAGGCTAGGCTCACAACCAAAACTATAAAAAGCAGAACAGTTTATAAATATTCTATTTCACAAGGTGAGGAATGGCCAAAAGGAAAGTTAACATGGAAATTCCCTTAGCATGGAGATGCATCTCAACTTCCTGCTAAAGAGAGGATGGGGGGGGGAGGTATATTGGTATATTTTCAGAAATTTCTACTTTCCAGTCTACACTGAAATCTTTCCAATACTTCTGTTACAGGTCTCACCACCTGATGCAGGCACCCAACCAGGCCAGTGACTCAAGTGACAGAGTCATTATCACAGCAGTGTCAAAAACCAAGCTAAGAAAGCTCTGTTCTTCTGGTTCATTCTCCCTGGAGTTGTCTGCGGGCGAGTGCTAGCTTGAAGCAGAATGCAGTCTGAGCCTCTGGACATGGACAGATGGTGCAGTAGTTTAAAGTGCATGCAGCATTTCCAGAAGACCTGAGTCTGGCTGCAAGCACCCATGTCGGGCAGCTCACAACCACCTTGAACTCTTAAC